AAAAAAAAAAAAAAAAAAAAAACTGACTGTGATGTGGAAAGATCTATCCTAGCTCTGCTATTGGCTTATCAAGAATATCTGGTGACATTTTATATTGATGATGTCACAAGTGGTACAAAGAGCACAACCACTCAGGATGTGTATATATGTCCTTGGGGGTCAAAGGGTTAAAACAAAAGCCCTCTAAGAGGACATGTTGTTACTGGATAGTAAATAACCACAGTGGTGCAAAAAAGAATTGCTGAGTTTTAATTTTATTGCAAAATATTTCTTTTGAAATTTAAATACTTGACACATATGTTCTCTGCATTGGCAGCATTAGGTACCTTTTTACGATGCAAGGATGGCAAGGCCAGGATGGGAAATGGCGCTGGACACGGGAATCTTTCACTAGTCCCGTCATGTTGCCAAATATGAAATGCTTTAAGATGTGTATTTTTCGTATAGGACGGTGACTTCAATGACCCAAGCTAGATGTATTGAAAAAAAACTTTTCACAAAACCGATGACATCCTTTAGAGTTAGTGAACAGATGATGCTAAAATTATTCTTCTGCATATAAGTTTATTTGCAGCATCTGCCAGTATTTCAATAATAAAGAATCCAGAATTTGCATATGAAGAAATGAAGCGAAAGATTTTATCAGGTGTATCTTATCAGATGGCTTTTTGCCAGCAGAGCATTTTAGAATCATGTCGAAGAATCCTGACTTAAAGTGAATAGTTTCTGTCTCACTTCACGAGATTCATTGTTCCAAAAGCTTTCGAAAAGTCATGGACTATCTTACTTACTTACTAACATGTCTGATGATATATTGGTGACTGGCTAAAGTCAGTAACCACAAAAAAACAAAATTAGTTATAATTTAAAGGCATGCCTCATTGAGGACACTATGTCTCAATTTTTTTAATTTTCTTGACCAGTACTTTCAATAAGATTTCAAGTAAGTGGCTATCCTGTTTCAGAACCCTTAAGAAAGCAGTAAGAGAAATTCATAACAACTTCCTCCAGAAAGACCACTTTTTCAAAACATTGTTATCCCCCTAGGTGATTAATTTTGGGTAAAACAATGACAATTATATTTAAATCAATCAATCGATCTATCAATCAATCAGTCAGTCAATCAGTCAGTCAATCAGTCAATCAGTCAATCAGTCAGTCAGTCAGTCAGTCAGTCAGTCAGCCAGTCAGTCAGTCAGTCAGTCAGGCAGTCATTTAATCAGTCAGTCAACCAAAAAAACATTAGACTGGTAATTTACAACAGAAGCTTCCATGGAAGCTCTGGCACATGCTGGGTCTTATTGAAAGCACTCATTGTTATCTTGTGTTAAACCATAAGTCCTGTTTATTATGTATAGTAAAGTAGTAAAGTATTATAACGAAAGTCGTGTAAATAGTTTTGTGCATTGCAATAATAAAAAAAAAAACTCATTCTTATCTAATCTTTTTCCATTGTAATTCAAACCTTATGTCACTTCGTATTTGTGTCAACACATCGATGTGATTAGCAATGTTGCAAGATAATGTAGTGAAATGGTCAGAATTGTTTACTTTTACAGGTTCTGTAATGTTACAGCCCAATACACCCACCTCAAGAAATGCTGCTTGTACAACTCCACAGGTACTATGTAAGAAATAGAAAACTGTGTTTTTATAACGCAATAGAAACAAAGAGAAAATGCTTTCTATTCTCTTTAGGAAATACTATGGGCATTGAAAGAAAAGGAAAATGCTAGTTTCTAGAGTTTACTAAAAAGTGAATGTTTGTTAGCTTGCCTTATTAGCAGTTGACACTTTACCCCTTATGTTCTGTCTTTTCTTTTGTGATACCAAAACAGCCTTTCCCATGCACTTTCTCATAAGTAATTTTTTAAAATAATATAATATCTTGAGCACCCATCAAGAGCTGTTTCTCTAATGGTTCCTAAGTCAACATCTCAACAAACATTTTATTATGACCCACCATCGGCATGCATCTGTAGAGGGATGAGGTCATGCTTCTGTGATGATGGCTCATCTGTGTTCTTTTATTACAATGAGCTATAGAAACAGGTGTTAATATGATGAATTTGAAGCAACATGATAGAAAATAGAACATTATTATTATTATTATTATTAGTTTATTTTTTTATTTAAAAAGTTTATCCTGCTTACAGTACAACACGGTTATTGACACTACTTACAATACTAATGCAGCTTCTTTACACCTTTTTTAAAATTTTTGTTAGTACCTTGAATTGATATTTATAATTTGAAGTACATAATTAAATAGCTTATTATTCACTTAGTTTGTAATTTGCAATTACATAGATTTTAATAATTTTGCGTGCACAAATATGATTAAATTACAAGACTTAATTTCAAAAAGAAAAGGGGAAAGAAAAAGAAAAAGAAGACACTATGGATTAGTAAAAGAATGTACAGATTAAGTCTAAGTTAACAACAACAAAATAAAAAAAGGAACTACAGGCAAAGGGATGAAAAGCAAAAGGAAAGAAAA